TTTTTTTTCATTTAGGTTGATTATATGTAGTGTTGAACAATTTTTTACTCTACTTAAAGCAACATAATGCATGTGCTCTCTGGTTGATGATGGTAAATCAAGTACTGCTTCATTAAGTGTGTCACCTTGGCAACGATGGATAGTCTTAGCTGCTGCTGGCCGTAAAGGATATTGTCTACGAAGTATCTGGCATTGATGTCGCTTTGAAATCTTGAATTGTCTAGTTATCTCTAAAATTGGTGTCCAGGTTCTATCCACATTTTTGTTAAATAAATGTGCAAATTCATTGCGATGGTTTTGACCTATGCTAGCTTCTGGGAAAGATACCCAGATGATACTTGGCCTAGTGGAGTCTTTAACTCTGTAGTCTATCTTCTCTATGACACACTCGGCACCATTTGTCATACCATCAGTTACATTGACATTTGTTGTCAAGTCATATTTTGCTCCCACAGCAACTGAAACAACATTAAATAAGCCCATAGTTTTAGTGTGATCATCTGGAATTTTTTCTTTGACTTTGTTTTTTAGGTCATCAGACATATCTCCAACAACTATGTCAATACATTTAATTTGAGCTTTTTGAGTATGTGCAGTTTGATACATTGCATTGTTGTGATCATTTACTTGTGCATTTGTTGAGTATAGATGTGTTTTATTGATGGGATAATTTTTCTCACCAGGTTTAATTTTTACAATTCTTTCTTTAAGGACCTTAATATCATTTTGGTTATGTTTTCCTTCTCTAAGTCTGTTTAATAGTTCTGCAAAGTCCTTGTCATCTTTTTGCCTCATGATTTCCCTGAGTTCAAACAAGGTAAAATACTCCTTCCAAATGTTGGTTGCTAAAGCACTGTAAGAATCATTGGTATTTTCAAAGATCCATTTATCAAATACTGGTTTTAATTGGAATAAGTCTCCAACTGTTATCAAGCTCAGATTTCCAAATGGTGACTTGTTTCCCATTATTTGCTGCAGTCGTAAGTTAAGAAAGTTGAACATTCCATTGCCTACCATTGAAATCTCATCAATAAATATAACTTTCAGTTTTCTTAACTGTGCTCGTATTGTATTAAGTCTATCTGTATCAAGTGTGCAGTATTGAAATCCCCTGTTGGCAGGTATTTTAAAAGCAGAGTGAAGTGTGTTTCCCTTGATGTTAAATGCTGCTTTGCCCGTGGGAGCAACTTTCAGTACTTTTGCTTCATCTGGATTTTCACCTGGGACACTATTTAAATATCTTGTGAGTGCTTCATAGAGAGCACTAGTGACAGTACTTTTACCAACTCCAGCACCTCCACTTAAGAATAATCTGAGTGGGTCATCATTAGTTTTAATAGAGTGTAAAACATGGTAAAAGAATTCTTTCTGTCTTTTGTTTAGTGAGCGAACAAGCTGTCGATAATCACTATCATGTAGGCGATTTTGTATAAGTTCTTCATCATCATTATTCCTTGGTAAAATATTCATATCCTGAAATAGATCATACTGACTGTGTTGTTTGTTGGTACCTGGATCAAAACATTCAAATAACTCAGTAGGTTTTGATTTAGCTGCAATATCTTGTTCATTCATGTGTTGTGTATTGGGAGCCACTGGTGCAGAATAGTTATCGTTGTCATTTAGGTCTTTGATGGCCTTGTCAAGAATATCAGAGTGGTATTCATACTGCTGTCTGTTGCTTTTGATGATTTCTTCTACCTGTTGGTATCTTTCTTGGTACGTCTCACAGTCTTTTATGAGATCTTTTTGCTCATTTCTCCATGGGATATAAAGCATAAGTTGTTCTCTACAGTAATTCTCAGGATCATTTTCTTTGTTAAACCTTACAGATCTTATTATCTTTGCTTTTTTTCTCTTGACAAGCTTCATTCCTCCTTTTAATTGGTATTCTGTAGTATTATCAGTTTCATCAGTTTCATCACTTTCATCAGATGGGTCATCATCAACATTATCGCAAAAATCAGTTTCTGGCAAAAAGTTACTATCAGACTTTTCTTGTACATTCGATTCAGTATTGTCATTTACACAGTTGAACCAGGCAACAAAATGAGCTAGACACAGCAGTTCTAATTTACGGGGTCTTCTTTGATATCTTTTAAGTACATTATCTGACTCTATATCGGTTGACTTGTCTGGTAATTCTTTGATTTTTTCAAGTGTTTTCAACAAAAATGTTCTTTCCTCTGGATTAGATGTGTTGATAAATTGAAATTCTCTTGATGCTCTCCTCATAGGCATCTGTAATACTAAGTAAACTGCTTCCTGAGCACTTATTTCAACTGCATTAAGAAATTTATTACCAATATGTCTGACTTTGTTAACAATATCTTTATTGTCAGACTTTGCTTCCTGTGATGCTGTCTCTAGAAGTTTGCTCATTCCTCTTTGACCCTTCGTTATGTAAGAGAGTATATAAACAGCACAGGCATAGGGATCCAAAACAAATTGTAGATCCATGTTAGCTCTCCAGCCTTTTAAAAGGTTAGGGTTGTAATTGTTTATTCTGATTTCGAAGGGAGATCTCTTAAGGAACAATGTTGGGCGTTTCAAGGAGTATCTAATGGCCTTTAAATACTGATGTTCTGTAAGTTTTAATTTTTCAAGAAATGTCTCAAATGCTATATCTTGACCATATTTCATCTCATCAAGAAGATTTTTAATTTGATCATACTGTTTTTTCATTTCTTTTAGCTCATCCTCTTTAAAATGGGTTTCTTTAAAAGGTTCTAGGATCATAGACCTTGGCATTGGAGGAAGAGGGAAATTAAATCTACAAATTTTGTGACCACCTTTTTTACAGGTCTTCGCATGTCTGTGTGTTTGTAGATTCACCAGTTCTCTTATTTCATCTGAGTGATCATTTTTGCAGGTTATGTACTTATCTACAAAATGTATAATCTCTTCATTAGTATTTTGTTCATACTGAGGTGCATCTCTCACCCAAAATAATGCATGTATATGAGGTGAACCTCTTTGTTGAAATTCCACTCTGTAAAAAAGGTCTACTATTTCCCCAATAGGCATTGCATCACTTTTCAATACATCCCTTAT